TTGATCACTTGAAACAGTAACAAGTCAAAAATACCTCACCAAACCTTTTGTCCCACCATGGACCTTGGGCTAATCATGCAACCTGTCTGAACCTCAGTTTCCTCATCTACAAGATATGATTAATACTGCCATCTCACATGGGTGTTGTAAGGATTAAATCAGGGCTTGTCACCATGGAATAGCGAAGAGCTCAGAAAAGAGCATGACACCAGAGATTCTGAGTCCCTATCAAACATACAGCCCCCTGAATTCTCCATGCTGGGTCTCCCTTGACAATGATTCACAGCTCCCTCCCCACCACCATTTACTCCATCAGCTCCATCACTGAGTCACTCCACTGTCATTTACTTAGCATCAGTGACATGTTGGAGATTCCGAGATGAAAAGGCAGCATCCGGTCTTTCAATCCACAACAGTTAGGGACTATTTTGGATCTATCTACTTGGCACATAAGTATGGGTCATAGGCAGCTGGGTTGCCTCACTGGTGGGTTGCCTGCCCCCAGTGTGCACATGCGCGCGCGCGCGCGCGCGCGCACACATACACACACACACACACACACACTCCAAACTCCAATTAGGTACTGTATTTTATAAAGGGGGATGGGCTGAGGATTCTGGCCTTTGGGAGAAATAAATAAGAGAATTTGAGCAGGAGAAGAGGGACATATTGCCCCTTTAAATCATAACCACCAGTCTGGAATCAGGCTCGTGACTGGAAATTTCTCTGAGCATTATCTGTAAAGTAATGCTACATAGGGGTCACAGAAACTGAGACGGCTTCCCACATGTGAAATGCCTGGCAGACAGAGGGCAACAGTAAATGCTAGCTCCCTTTCCAATTTATTTCCCCCCACTTTCCCCCTCTCCCCAAATCTAAGCTTAGCAGCCAGAGAACAGACACTTGGTGGTTTTGCTGTTGTTGCTGCTGTGGGCTTAGAGTAGACTACGCATGCAAAAAGATCTCCATTCGGGACCACGACAGCCAGGCTGCTGGCACTACAGCATTCCCGGCAATGCCTGGTCACACACCTCTCAGCCTTTGCTTTTTTTTTTTTTTTTTTTTTGCTGCTCAGATGACCCCATGTCAGTGGCTCTGTTGTCTGAATGTAAGATTTTGCAATTTATTTTACAATTCTTACCCAATTGCCCACCAAATCCTCATGACACACGGGCAACTGGCATCACCTGGAAAACTGTTTTCTCATTTGTCCCTTCGAGAAGCAGGTTTTCCAAGGCCAAACCTAGACACCTGAGATCTGGGGTTCTTTGAAATAATAAAGGAACCCCCTGGGTGGCTGAATGATCCCCTGGGCTGGTACCAAAACAGTCAGTCCCCCAAGTTCCAGTCTGACCTAAGTCAAGGTGCCAGGGCTACCTTGGGCATGACACTAGTGGGTATCTTTCAGGAATGAGAAGTGCCCATTTGTAGGATACCGTGTGTATGTGTGGGGGTGGAGGAGTCTGGGACGGGGGAGGGGCCTCTCTGGGTTTCTAAGTGGCAAAGAAACCAGTATGCCAACAGGCTTAAGATTCCGTGCCTCTCAGCCCACCCCTGGCTTCTGCAAGTAGCACTGCTCCTCATATTGTCCTTGGAAGGGAAAGCAGGGAGGGGGAGCCCGGTGATGCACAGGGAAGGGGCTCCCCACCCACCGAGCCTCCCTACTGCCCCTCTCCCACACAGCCAACCCTCCACTGTAACAAAGGCACCGCCATCCTACGTTTTCAAAGTTAGCTAAAGTCTCTTGGTCTACCAATAAACAATTCTGGTGAGTCAAAAGGAGGAAGAGACTGCTAGAAAACGGTGGGAAAGAGTCCCTGGGAAAAGCACAGAAAACCTTGCCTGGTCCGTGCAACGCTAAGAATTGTTTTCTCCCTACTGGCTGTTTTTCTCTCTGTTCTAAAGAGAAGCTTCCAAGAATCGGCTAAATAAAGGGATCACACCAGAGGATGCGAGATAATGCTAAACCAACAAAAACAAAGACCCAAATGAAACAGCGAGCCATGAGAATACGCGGTTATCAAAACTTTGTTTGGCCATATCTATTTATCATCGCTGCACACCCGGGCTCTGCGGAATATCATTCTGTTGATGTCACTTATCCTCAGCAAAATATTTACACATCCTTAAAAACGCCAGATGAGGGGGGCTGGTCTGATCGCTGCCGCAAGCTGCCTCTCAAGCCGCATTGCCAGGTCGTGGGCAGCCCAGAGGTGGGGGCCATGAAGGTGGGTGGCACCAGTGGGCACAGGTTAAAGCTACCAACAGTTCCGGGAACGCGGCCCCCAGGCTCTGAGCCCTGCCCACCTCTTCTCTACCTGACTCTGCAAGAAGCAGCCACATCCCCGATATGGTGTCAGCGTCTCCTTCTCCTCCTCCTCCCCTGCTTTCTCATTGATTAAGTTCCCAAACCATTGTTAAAGCCGGGTTGCCGTTCCTCGTTCCTCGGAAAATGGGCTAAATTCATTAAGCTTCCCGCTGCCACAAAAGGAATATTCATAAAAGTTTGGTAGGCAGAAAGGGAGGCTGACAGCGTGCCATGGGGTGGGTGACAATCTGCTTCTCCAAAGCCACCTTCTTTCTTCGTGCCCCAGTCCTCTCCCCATCCACCCGTCGTGCCCCAAACCCACTCCAGGGACTTCTGATAGGGAAACACAAAGCAGCAGCTGTTTGGCAACATTTCTGCCCCTCGCCAACAACTGTGGTGGGATGCCATTTCCCCACCCAGGCGGGGCTTATCCGGAACAATAGTCGGGCTTTAAACAGCAAACAAGCAAACCCACAGAGCACAACCCCAACCCCGAAAAAGCCAACGCAGAGAGATGCAATAACTCCCTCCGCAGCAAAAGGCGCCACTGAAACGCACGCAAAAAATGCAGCGAGAACGCTGCACGGTGCCTAACATGGCAGAAAGCCCGAGCTGGTGCGGCCACCCCGGGTCTGGGCATTGGGGGGCACCAGGACTCTCGGGCGCCGACGCACACTCACCGGGCTCCAGGGAGATGCGGGACTGGCTGAGCGTCACAAAGAGGAGCCCGGCTCGATTTGGCAAAACCCAACTTTCCACCCGGCTCGCCAGGGCCGCCAGATACGTCAACAGAATCCATCTTTCGAAGGGCCTGGAAGGCGCCGGGTTTTCCGGGCCAGGGCAGAATGGCAGATCCGGAGGCGGCGCGGTGCGGTGCCCGGGCGCGGAGTCCGCGGCGCGCCGCCCTCTGAGCCCGGTGCCAGCGCGGGT